CGCGTAATTATTTTAGAAACGCCATGCCGCCAAAGACGTTGCGAAATTCATCGAATTACCTCGCTAACGGCGTTACGTCGAGGGAACGTAATTCGCGGATAAGCGTCCGCGTTTTGTACCAATGCGACCCTTCCAACGCGAGCGGAACAGACCGTTTCTGGAACGTTACGACCGACGCGTGTCGCTGGCCGATTTTCTTGACGGAATTTTTGCGATCGCGAATACCGCGAGAATCTCGTCGAACCGTTTTACTACGCCCTGTTGCTCCGATGTCCCTCGTCTCCCCGTTACGATCGCCCGCCGCGTCGCGTCGCGTCGGCAAGAAAATCGAATTATCACCCTGCCACGGAACGGAAGACCTTCCCGTCGGGCTCCGTTTGCGCTTTGTATCGTGCGATCGTCGTTGCGATATCTCGTTATCCGGTAGCTCCGATAAAGCAATTACCGCCAAAGTATAATATTCGTCGACGCCGTTAATTATAATTGCTATTATCGTTTATTTACTTATTTATAAACGGAAAAATTCATTGGAGTGCATACGCGACGGAAGGTATCGGCGCGGTGATCTCGATAGATTTCTCGCTTCGATTTCGACGTTTAGCAATCGCGGACACCGACGAGATCGATTACGGCACAGCGCGTACCTGGTCGTTCGTTAGGGTAGCAATCGTTGTTATGCTCGCATAACATGTGTTATCGAGAGCATAAAAGTTTAAACGAGAAAGGAGCCGAAGACGATTCGTCGAGCCATTCGGAACTTTAAAAAGAACTCCTAGATTCGAGGTAACTTCGAGGTAGAGCACCGATTTTTCGGGAAGCTCGCTCGAAAATGAAAATAATTCGCGGCGGTAGACGATGCGTCGACGCGTTCGAGAAAGAATGCTGTTATAAAATTTTCTGCGATGCTTAAAATTGTATACAAAGGGATTAAAGGTAAAGTCTACTCGATTACGTTGCTCGCGACGCGTGCACGAGCAAGTTATCGAAAATCGATCGGCTTACGAAGCCGTTCCCGCGCTTCGCGTACAACAAATTATAAAATTTGTAATTTCAGTCCCCGGATCGGGCATTCATTAATTGGGAACGTCGGCGCGCGCGCAGGATAAAATTTAACGTCGACGCGAGTAATCGGCGCTTCTCGGATCGAGCTTCGCGGAGCTTCGATTTGCGAAAAGTCGATAAGCCGCGCGCGCAAAATCTACGTTTCGTTCGACGAGCCCAAATATATCCTCGTTTCTTTTTGTCATTTACCTATGCGAGAAACGATTCTAATTGAGTGACCCGGGATCGCGACGAAACCATCGTTTCAATTTTATGCGAGAAAAGCGACGAATGCTCGAGCTCGGGCCATCGATCGTTTCGAAAACGTATTCGTCCATTTTGCGTCGAGCACGAAACGAGTAGACTTCTCTACGGACAACGGTGGAGCAACGTTTTCGAATCTCAGAGTTTCACAAACTTGTAATTGTCTGTTGTAAAAGCGACGATAAACTTATGAAAAATGTATACGAAGTTGATGGTACCATAGAAGCCGATTCGAATCTTTCTTTTCGCTTCGAACGATCGTAATCCAAATAATATATTTACATATATTTAATATATTTACAATAATATATTTACGCGATATGTAAAATTAAATTACCGAAATCGAGTTGTTAATTAACCATAAAATTCGACTAATTAGAAAAAGTTACTTATCCGATACATCGAATAGCGATAATTGGTATTATATTTCATTCTCCGCTTCCAATGTTACTTTTGTTTAATAATAATATAATGAAAATATTTCACAGAATCAACACGACGCGGATCCGGTTAAATTTTAATGAAAGTATCGCTTCCAGCGTTCGGGTCGATGTTAAATTATGCATTGTCGGAGAATTGTACCGTCGGTACGATTATCCGGTCTACCGATATATCACAATTCTCCGTTGACCAAATACGTTTTACACGTAATCGGATAAATCTAAGGCTATCCGCGTGCAAAACGATTTACCATACAAGAGAATAGAGACGAAGTCTAGCTCCGTAGTTGTTCCATTTATAAAACTGTGCTATCGAACGAACGTTCGTGTCGCTCTTCATAGTCCGGATAATCGAGTTTCTACCACACTTCTAATTCGAAGCGGCCGTCTTCCTTGAAATAACTGGCATAGCGTTCTGGATCTTACTTTATTCGGTAGCGTCCGGATAAATATACGTCGAGTTGTGTAATACGAAATGTCGAATATCTTGTTCCTCGCAAATTCCAAGGAATTTTTTGTGATTTTTCTTAAAGAGGAATTCGCGAAACCACAAGACCCGTGGAACGATGTTGTTAAAATTTTAACTTACAAATTACAAACTTGCTGCTCAAATTTCACAGCTGAAAGGAAACTTTGAACCGAAAGCAATTATTGTTTGAAAATACTCGATATAATAATCTCCGATCAGATGTTTTTCCTAACCGCGGTGTCAGAGAATCGATCGAGGAAATTTCCCGACGTCGTCGTTTCATGTTCAAGCGTGCGATTTAAAATTTGCTGCGCGTTCTTCTAGATCGTTGTCGACCCTGAGTCCGAGAAAAATCAACGTAACGTTGACCGGTTTTTATTCGTGCCAGTGCCTGATTTACAATTTTCTTCGAAACGAGTGAAATCGATCGATCCAGTTTTCATTTTCGTTCCTGCACACCCGACCCGATCGGATCAAGGATCGGCGCAGTTTCACTTCGGTTCTCGCATATGCGCCGAGAACACCGGTTTAAAGTAAATCGAGATCCTCTCGCGAAGAGCCGAGGCACGGGTAACGGAGAGGCAGAGGATAGGGGCAGAGAGAGAGAGAGAGAGAGAGAGAGAGAGAGAGAGAGAGAGAAGAGAGTGCTCGCACACCTGTCTGAATCTCGAGTAACGAGCCAAGAGAAACACAAGGCAACCCCACGAATTCGTGCTGCTCCTTTGAGCTCCCCTTTTTAACCCACCGCGGTGCGCGGAGCCAGGATAACACGGGAAACCGGTTCCATAGTATTTATGCACCGTGTGTACGCGACTTACGAATNTAATTGTCTGTTGTAAAAGCGACGATAAACTTATGAAAAATGTATACGAAGTTGATGGTACCATAGAAGCCGATTCGAATCTTTCTTTTCGCTTCGAACGATCGTAATCCAAATAATATATTTACATATATTTAATATATTTACAATAATATATTTACGCGATATGTAAAATTAAATTACCGAAATCGAGTTGTTAATTAACCATAAAATTCGACTAATTAGAAAAAGTTACTTATCCGATACATCGAATAGCGATAATTGGTATTATATTTCATTCTCCGCTTCCAATGTTACTTTTGTTTAATAATAATATAATGAAAATATTTCACAGAATCAACACGACGCGGATCCGGTTAAATTTTAATGAAAGTATCGCTTCCAGCGTTCGGGTCGATGTTAAATTATGCATTGTCGGAGAATTGTACCGTCGGTACGATTATCCGGTCTACCGATATATCACAATTCTCCGTTGACCAAATACGTTTTACACGTAATCGGATAAATCTAAGGCTATCCGCGTGCAAAACGATTTACCATACAAGAGAATAGAGACGAAGTCTAGCTCCGTAGTTGTTCCATTTATAAAACTGTGCTATCGAACGAACGTTCGTGTCGCTCTTCATAGTCCGGATAATCGAGTTTCTACCACACTTCTAATTCGAAGCGGCCGTCTTCCTTGAAATAACTGGCATAGCGTTCTGGATCTTACTTTATTCGGTAGCGTCCGGATAAATATACGTCGAGTTGTGTAATACGAAATGTCGAATATCTTGTTCCTCGCAAATTCCAAGGAATTTTTTGTGATTTTTCTTAAAGAGGAATTCGCGAAACCACAAGACCCGTGGAACGATGTTGTTAAAATTTTAACTTACAAATTACAAACTTGCTGCTCAAATTTCACAGCTGAAAGGAAACTTTGAACCGAAAGCAATTATTGTTTGAAAATACTCGATATAATAATCTCCGATCAGATGTTTTTCCTAACCGCGGTGTCAGAGAATCGATCGAGGAAATTTCCCGACGTCGTCGTTTCATGTTCAAGCGTGCGATTTAAAATTTGCTGCGCGTTCTTCTAGATCGTTGTCGACCCTGAGTCCGAGAAAAATCAACGTAACGTTGACCGGTTTTTATTCGTGCCAGTGCCTGATTTACAATTTTCTTCGAAACGAGTGAAATCGATCGATCCAGTTTTCATTTTCGTTCCTGCACACCCGACCCGATCGGATCAAGGATCGGCGCAGTTTCACTTCGGTTCTCGCATATGCGCCGAGAACACCGGTTTAAAGTAAATCGAGATCCTCTCGCGAAGAGCCGAGGCACGGGTAACGGAGAGGCAGAGGATAGGGGCAGAGAGAGAGAGAGAGAGAGAGAGAGAGAGAGAGAGAGAGAGAGAAGAGAGTGCTCGCACACCTGTCTGAATCTCGAGTAACGAGCCAAGAGAAACACAAGGCAACCCCACGAATTCGTGCTGCTCCTTTGAGCTCCCCTTTTTAACCCACCGCGGTGCGCGGAGCCAGGATAACACGGGAAACCGGTTCCATAGTATTTATGCACCGTGTGTACGCGACTTACGAATACGAATGCGTAAGATGCATCCAGCCCTTTCTGTTCCCTTTAGTCACCGACGCTTACGCGCACACGTCCGTCATCCCTTTTTTCTTTCCCTTTAACCCGCCAGCATTCGCTACACCGTCGAGACACTAGGAAACGTTCTATATCGCAAACGTCGTTCCGGTACGAAACTCCCAGAAGCTCTTGTAACTCGTTCACAATGAAAGCGAGTCTTGGCGAATGCTCGGAAACGGAGAAACATCGACACAGAAACTGATTCTCCAACTGGCATTGGGTTAAGTTCGGAATGACTTCGCGAGTGCTCGAGTTTCGAATGGTCTCCCATCAAAATATTGGAACATCGCGCTCGAATTCGTTGCGTCGAGTAGAGAAAGTTTTAAACGAAAAAACGTTTCTCCGTTAACATCGCCGATTTTATTAAAACGATAGCAATATAATTGATTCGCTCCATCGAAAAGCTATTCGAGCTGTTTAGGAAAATCAATTAGCGAAACATGGATATCAACGAGCGCGGCTGTCCGAGCCTCGAGTCGCAACGAGTCGGTCTCGTTGAAAATTACTCCTTCGACTTCCAGAAGTCGTATTATTTAATTGCTTCAACAACGTACTCCTATGCGATACATTTCGAAGCGATACGATCACGAGAGACTTCGCATCGATCGCTAATAATTGTTCAACAATTTAGCAAAAGCGTAACGATATAATATTAAATACATGATAGGCCGATAATCCTAATACAATCGAAACGGACGTGAGTTTACATGAAAAAGTAATAGGGCGAATGTAGAGCGAAATAATATATTTGTGCCGGACGAAAAAAACTTAATTCCATTATTTTCTCAGGCAGAATCATCGTCGCTCCGGTGATACGATTGGATAACGATTTCGAAATGCTTATAATTATTGGAACGACAGAAATATTACACATTGTACCATGTCTAAGAGATCATTGCGGAATAAAAGACTGTTTACGTATCGTACATAGACACGCGAAAGAATATAAGCAAAATACGAATAATATAATGCCAGAAATATCGTTGATGAAACACGAACTCGACGAATGTTAAAAGTATAAACAACAATTGGAATAAAAGCTGGCCATATCGATAAGCCCTACTCGTTCGGTGAAAATTTCTAAACAATTTTTTAACCGGCTACCGTGGTAAATCAGTTTAATTGTTCGATATGCGAAGAGAGTGGATCGTCGTTGTCGATATAGTCTGGTAATGTGAAAGGTTCTTCCGAAGACGATGAATCCGATAGTTCTACGAAACATGATTATTTTAGTAACAATATTATACAGAGAATGATAAAAAGAAACGATGTAACTTACGATCATGACCGTTTGTATGTTCTTTCTTTTCTTCTGTGTTCGAGTTGTTTTTGCATCCCTTTTTTTCGTTCGCTTTCATTTCTTCTTCGTAATTAAAACTATCGTAATTGTTATCTTCGTAGGAGGTGAAGTGAAAGTAAGACAGGGTGCATACGAGAGCTATGAAAAACAAATTTGTACTAATTCCAACGACGGCAGACAAAATTGGCCAGTGAAACATAAGATAGCGTAAACCAGATAAATGTGCATTTATCGTAACGGTAGCTGAATAAAATTCAATGTGTCTAGATTGTATCTCGATCGATACGTCTGTCACAGGATGGCTCTGATCGTCTTCAAAATTACCAAACAATTCGAGCACTAAATTTTGTTTTTCTTCCACGCTACCAAAGATCATCATAGGCGACAATGTAAACGTTGTTATCGTATGTAACAATGTACTGCGATAATGCATCATGGCTGACCTACATACGTCTTCTACGATGATACCGTCTCTACTATGTAATTCGGCGCAGACCATAAACATACCTATTAAAGATCTATAGATTAATCGCCCCAATAATTCTAACGACGGTAAGAGAAACATTTATAAATGTTACCAAGTTCTTTATTAGCAGGAGATTCTGGCATTTCTAAATGCAAGCTTACTTTATACGGTTGCCCAACCATAAGCAACTGTTGTTTATTCGTCAACTGCACATATGCCGTAGGAAAGCTACATATCCCTTTCTGTGCGTTGCAAGATCTACGATATGAAAAAATGGTTTAATTTGAATTTCCACATAGCGCGCATATTTCTACGCAATAAAATATGTGCAAATAGTACGATTCGTTATAAGTTAAACAACTAACATACAACTAAACAGCTCACCTGAATTGTAAATGTACCGGCCGTACATATGACATATTCGGCATGTACGCATAGTAAAATGCTGTGTACAGAAATACTGATAACCAAATAATAAGAATTCCAGTAATGATAATCATTCCACCGCTTAATATTACATGTTTAGCGGATTGTACGCTTCTTGTTGTTTTCTTTTGAACGCTAAACCATTTTCTATTTGCTAATTCCAACAACCTCGAAATTAATATCATTGTACAATTTAATACACTTTCGGCTATAAGTTTGGTTCGTTACTGCGCAACTTTATTTATGCCTCCAGCAATCGTTCCATGAGATAAGATAACTACATAATTTATCGTTTAATTAATCTTCTTTTTAAATTATTTTCAACTAAAATATAGGTTAAATCCATTGCAGTACACGCGAATCGAGAAACAGCGCTGTCACTACTAATTCTGTAAAAGCCAGTACTAAATGTAATGCCATTACAGGTTTTACGAGAAGATATTTTTATCGACATTTTTACTAATCTATTCGATGATCGAATAACATTTTCAGAAATATAATTATAAAAATAACAGATATATCAATTTAGAATAACTATTCATTTTTATTATTGTTAAGATTAAGGAATCGAAGCTTTGCCTATACTTACATATACAAGACAGTTTCTAATATAGATTTTCAATGCTAAAACACTTGAGAATGGTGCGTACAATAATCTGTGTTATGCGATACATTCCATAGGAAGTAGTGACACATTTCATAATATCTATTATAAATATGAAATATTATCAAAATTCATAAAATATTTGAAGTACTTTAAAAAATATGTACACTGTAAAATACTTGTTAATACTAAAAAATAGAAAACAACATATATTTCAAATTATTTCCCCTTTCTGTGTTCCAGACGAGGTCTCCCTTTTTTGGTTGTTGGTTTATCTTTTCCTTTATTCAGTAATGGATGAGTTTCTAAAAACAAAAACGGTCAATTCAAATAAATGCGCTACAGTTTTTTTTTTGTGTGTATTATAACTATTATACCATCTACTGGGGCTCCTTGCAAATGAATATCGTGCGAACGATGTTTCTTCATAGGAGGTTCGTGCGGTGTTGTTTGATTATCTTCCGAATCTTCTACATCCGGTGAGATCGGTAGAAATTGTAATGAACCGATATCCTCCATTTCTTCGTCGGAGCTACAGAAAGCAGCAACCCTATCGATAGACGCAACATCAACTTCGATCTCTTCATCTTGGGCTTCTTCGCCTTGAACCACAGACTTGTCTTCGTCGCTCAAGTCAAATTCACTTTCCCTCTCTTCGTACTCAACATTTTCGTCTAATTCCTTAAAATCTGGTGCAAAAGCAGACCAATTCTCAACTTGGTTTTGTGCCCAAATAGAAACTACACCAGACGATATAGAAGCAATTATTGGCCTTACAGGATGCCACTGTATCAAAATTTTAACAATTAATTTATGAACTATCTAATGCCAATGAAACGGTAAATTAATTATTTACCACAACATCAAGTAACAATTCTCCCTTAGTTCCATGTAAAATTTTCACTAAATTTCCAATACTTTTTTCCCAGACGTACAAAGCATGTTGCCTTGCAGAACCAGCGCATACATATTCTCCATCTCCAGAGAAACAACATTTTTTCCACATGGTTTTGTTTACAAGATCTTGCAATTTTTGTATCGGTTCAGGTTCGCCGTCTTTTCCACATGCTAGTACTTCCGTACTATCGTATACACGAATTACCCTATCTGATGTATTTACTAAAAAACAAGATCCTCGCCTAGCAAACTCGATACTTTTCACAGCCGTATTACTGGCAGTGCCTTGCGATATTTTGTAAGAAGCTTTTACAGTTAGCGATTCTGCATCGAGAACTAAAATTCGCCCACGAGCATTTCCAGTATACACAAAATCTCCGCGGCGATCGAAAGATGCCACTATATTTAAATCGCTCTGCAATAGAAGACTATTTCTTTAGATTATATATATTGTACTTTTATGCTAGATATATATTTACATACATCATCGTCAAGAGGTATAACTCTATGCGAGCCCTCAACGTCAACCATTACCGCTGCGTGTCTCATTGGACATACTAAAAATTTGTTAAGATTTCTTGGATGAAACTGTACTTTCAATATAGGGGATGGAAATCGGTATTTTTGATCGCATTCTCCCGATAAAACGTCCCATATGCAAACATTGTTGTCTGTCGAGGCACTTAATAGTTTATGTCCATTTCTAGACCAGCTATTTAATGAGAATAATAATATAAAAATTTACTACACGCAAAGTAACATAATTATATTGTACTATTATTCCAAATTATATTACCTCAAGGAACATACTGGATGAACATGTGCACTGATGATTTTGGCAACGCCTCTTGTCAAAAAATCCCATATAACAATTCTGCCGTCGTTACACCCAACAGCAAGAAGAGTTCCTCTCTTGTTGAATGTACATGTTACTGCTAACGATATGCAATCTAATGTACCATCGAATTCCTAACAATTATAAATATTTTGAGATCAAAAAATTAAAAGAGCACAATGTATTTTAAGGGCTACATCTTACCTCTGGATAATTCTGACCAAATGATTCTAGAAAAAGAAAAACATCAATTAGATTTTGACTCCGTCATGTGTGTATTAAACTAAATATTTAAAAAAAGACCTTACCCAATAATTCTAAATTCATTTTTGCTTTATTTGTTTATGTATCTACGTTATACATAGAACTTGTTAAAGTTATTATTTGTGACAGCAATGTCCATTTGTTAACCTACAATAACAATATCACACAAAATAACAGAAACGAAAATTTAACGTTTCTCAGTATCCAATTCCAGTGCGCATTGCGCATGCATCCGCATGTAAGTTCATGATGCACACGATATGCAGTATCCTCAGTGATGTAAAATTTCAGGATTTCCTATCTCAGCGCCGTCTACGGTAGAGTAGTGTCAGTTCGTAGACTATATATGCCGTACATACATATGCCTATCGGAAATTAGTTTTCGAGTAAGATCAATGTTTCGTCTCTAGTCAAGTGAGCATTCTGTGTCACAGACGTGTATGTTTGCACATACGCATACATATGTATGTATGTATGTATGTATATATAATATATAAAGACGGATCGTTGTTTTGTGTACCTGCTCAATTAATTTTGGAAGCATTATAATTATTTAACAAAAGGAATTGAGTGTCTCTACTTATGATATAGACAATATGTTATCTGTTTGTACATGTACGTTTTTATTATTTATGTTTAATGATTATTATAATACATTGAAGCAATTTGTTTCTTTATGTTTCTAATTAGCACATGTGTACATTAACTATTGTAAACATTTCCTCCAATTGTTGCTATACCTATGAAACTGTTCGTTTATCAGATTCATTAGTCAGAGGAATATGCATTGCAAGAGGACGAAGAACACTGGCAACAGTTTTAGCTACAGAACTAAAAGATATAGAAAATGAGACTTTCCGTACATTCGAATCAGATCCTCAAAATCATATTGAAACTCACTTGGGAAGAGTATACACAATACCAAAAGATATAGAAAAATTCTTTCAAAATGGAATGCCGAATGAGTGGAAACAACAAATAAAAGTTTTTGGAGAGTTTGGTATTTTAGTTAGAAGACCAGCAACTGAAATTATATCTTATTTAGAACAAACAGATTACTCGAAGCCTATAAATAAATACGTTTTATGTATCCTTCTTAACTCTTTAGTTACAATTAAGAATAGATACTATATAATTAATCTTTTGTGGGTATTTACTTCCAAATAAAAGGTCACCGTGAACCTTATATTAATAAATTAAATTCTCAACCACAAAGGGTTAATGAAAAATACAGTATATCGATATATAGCTATATTTTTATTATAATCGTGTACATTAGATGGTAAAGAAGGTGTAGGAAAAACATCGACCATATTGCACTTAATTCACTATGGCCTTGCAAAAAAGTTTATTGTGCTTAATGTACCATCAGGTAAAACAATATAATAGTATATATTTGCATCAAAAATATTAACATATTAAATATTTTTAGTTAATAATTGGTTTAAGTTCCCAACCGAGGTTCCAGAATCTCCAATTGTACCAGGCAAACTAGATCTTCCCTTACATGCAGGGGTTTGGTTAAATTATTTCAAAAATTTAAACGCTCCATTATTATCAACACTCGATGTAAGTATTACGTTCTACAATTCTTATCATTGATTTGTATTGCATACGAGTGAAATAATTGTTTTCTAGCTTAAACTCTCCAAGGATTACATTTGGTCTTACCGAGAATCTACAAACTGCGGAGAACCACTTTTACATATGATTGAATTTGGAGCACAAAGAATTAAGTTTGCTTGTGGTGTTATCGATGCTCTTGTAAACGAACTTAAAATAGCCAGTATGGCAGGCAAATGTAGAGTGTTGACTGTCATAGATGGTTTTAATTCGCTTACTTCTGACATCACAGCGATCAAGGATGAAAAGAAGCAACTTATACCACCAGAAAGAATATCAATAACCGCTTCATTTTTAAATACTGTTAACTGTAATTGGTGTAATGGTGCTGCAATATTATCAGTGGATACAAAAGCAAATAAGGTATGCGATAAATAATATAGTCTCTAACTAATATATGTGTATAGTGCATTGACTAAATAAAATATATTTAATATTGAATTTCTTTTGTTTGCAGAATAGAAGAGAATCTGAATATCCGAGGTATTTACTTGGTAAAGAAGGATTTGAACTTCTAGATCCTTTTATTCCAGTTGGCGTTGAAAACTACACTTACGACGAATTTAATGTCATTATGGAATATTATAAAGATAGAAAATGGATTAGAGATATCAGTTCTTCAGGACAAAAGGAATTAGAGCTTTTGTCAAATAGAAATCCTCTAGAACTTTGGTTCCGTTGTAAACCTCTGTAAAATAAATGAAAGTGATTACTAAGAAAATAACATTCCTTTTTTTTTCATTTGTATACAACTATTTGACTAGTCTATTATTTCTGTTCTAGAATTCTGTTTTTTCGGTCATTTAAATAAAAAATTAATGTATATTGCTACATATTTTATTGATTCGAATGATACACAGTAAGTGGTTAGGAATGTTTATTATTTGCAGGAATAAAATACATTGTTCAACATTTTACTCATTTCGATCTACATTCAAAAAGTGAAATATATTTTCGAAAAACGATATTTATATTTGTATTGGAAATGATTATATATAAACTACATATAATATAAATTTTAAATTCTGTATTTAAGAACGTATATGTTGTAATATGTCCAAAACAGAATTAATATCGCCATTTTCAGATTCTAACAAACGAGTGAGTACTCCTCCGTTATTTGAAAATCCCATTGATACCATATTTGCAATAGCATAGTGAATTTTAGGATTCGGGTGGTACGTTCTTTGTTCTATTGGTAATTCAGGATACATCTTTTGCGATGTATTTTTCTGCGTTGCAGTTGCCGATGTAGTCACTGAAGTAGTTGCTGCTGCTGCAGTTGTTGTAGTACCTGTTGACGCAGTTGCTGAAGTAATCAGCGGTGCAGCAGTCGCTGTAGTTGCCATCGGTGCAGTTGGTTCCATTGGTAACTGTGGCAAAAAAATTTAATGAAATGCAAAGTTTAATAGTACGATAAACATATTTTATATATTTATTATTTTAGGCTTACACTATTTTCAGCCGATACATTTAAATTAGATGAAACCGAAGACGCAGAGCTGATGCCAGAAGCATCATTTTTATCTATAATTGTCCATTCATCCGTCAACGTATTTACCGGTGAAGTTGTATTTTTATGCGACATAACTGTATCATCGGGCACGGATGATGCTTCATTGGCTGTTGTATCGGTTGTCAGTTGATCTTCTTTTCGTAATTTTTTAGAATTTTCCCTGGGTTCTATTCCATCGGCAAGAAAGGATTGTGGGGTTATAATATCGCCATCCAGCAATTGTTCTAAATAATTCCTACTACATTCTAGAATACGATTGATGGGAATCTTTTTTAATTCCGATATCACATCAGTCTGTTCCGGCGTTGTACTATTCTGTTTCGGCGCCGTCTCATTCTGTTCCGGCGTTGTAGCATTCTGTTTCGACGTCGTACCATTCTGTTCCGGTTTTGTATTTTGCTGCTCCGGTACTTTCTTCGATGACCCCGCATCACCATTATTCGTTTCTACCTTTACCTTGTTCGAATAATTTATGTACGGTTCCCAAGCTTCTAGCGCAGAAGTCAAATGTCTTATGCACGATTTACGACATCCTTTATTCCATCCATTATTCAAAATAGTCTCATCCGAGTCCGCGCAATGTAGTCCACTTTTTCTGACCGCTCTATTGATATAATCTAAGAGATATCCATATTTAGTCACTGGTTCTAATAAACGTATCATCCAGTGGTGCGCGTGTAAACCTGATTTTTCGCATTGCATGCATAGATCGTAATTTATACATTGTATACATTTATATCGAAAACCCACTATGGTCTCGTTACAATTGTCGCATATAATATTCGAATGCACTATCGTTTCAGAAATTTCTGTCTTCTCTTTAGTTACATCGCATTTCACATAAAATGTAAATTCTGCATCTGTTACAACAGGTTCGTTTTTAAATGTTTCGTTTATAGTCTGCTTTATAGCTATCGATAGTTCTTCGTTATTGCACATCGTAATCGAATCTCCCTCTTTATCTGTAAAATTATAATTGTTTCGACAATAGCAAAATGAAATCGGTAACTTTATATCGTATCAGAAAAGCGATACAATAGAATACCGAATACTGATTTTGACGTTTTCCATTATGGAAAATATCATATTATAAATACATATAATAAACATTACCTATCCATGACAACGTAAAATCCTTATCAGAAAGCTGAGGGCACATTTCTTTTACCTTATTACAAAGTTCATCAAAAGTCGGATGACTTTTGTACGAAGGATGTTCAAACTTTCGAATTTGTCGAGCAACACCACTGATACGTACAAAGATAGCTTTAAAATACATTGTGCTCATATTGAAATTTTATTGTATATGCTAAAAATTATACTTCGAATAATCACACTTGCAAAACTTTAACGAATATTTCACTTGAACCTTCTTTTCCTGCCCGATTTTTCTTCCTAATGTCTCGTTAACTCTGTTATGACGCTTTATATAAGTAGAGCACGGTGGTGTACGTATCCGTCAAAATTGTGCTGCGTAGTATAATACAAAATGGCGTCTACGGTACGTACATATGCATTTCTATCGAATTTTTCTATATGTTTTACCAATGAAAATGTTTTCTTTACTATATCAATGATTTATTGTTGAAAGATTATTATTATTATTATTATTGCGTGTAAACGTTTTGTTACTCGACCGATTAGCAAATTTTTACATTTGTAATCGGCGCCATTATTGAATGAAACGCGAAATTGAACCGACAATCACGTGATTTTCTACGAAAGAACGATGATTCAGGATAGACATGTATGTACTTTGTATGCAATAACTTTTTAATCATCGTACAGATATTGTTACATCGTATGTAAGAAATGTTACAATATTACTCAACATAATTTTAATTCTGTAGTTGTTAGTATGGTTCATGCCAGATGTAGTACCATAATTATTAACTATAATAATGAAAAATTCACGAAACTTTTCGACAAATACCGGATATATTATAAAATTCTAGATTATGTTGCAGCGGCATTATAAAACAATATTAACCGAATATTCGACAATTAATAGTTCACGATCATAATAATGTCATAATAGTCGGAAAAGAATCTTGGTTAAGTTGTTCCAAGCAATAACAAAGTTTAAGAGAAGCATCCTAGTTACGGTCTAGTAGAGTAGTCGGTCTATTATCTAAAAAAGAAAAAGGAAAAAGAAGGAAAAATTGAAGTGATTTAGTCCAGTTCTAAAAAAAGTTACTTAAGCTAAGCTTTTGGATAACTTTAGATAAGTGTGAAAATATTAATTGTTTCGCATTTCGCATAGTACAAGTTTTGTTCTAAATCGGCAGGAATGTGTTCATACTAATAATTTGAAGGCTCTTTTTTGCCAAGTATCGTTACACAAGCGTACAAAATATAATATAATACGTTTTTCTTTCGGTGCAACACAGTTTACAACTAACGTTGGCAAAGTAGGTTATATTTTATCATCTGCTTCCAATGGTAGTCTAGATTTTGGACTATCCTTATTTTCTAGTTTTTTGTATGGTTCGAATACATATTAGTGTACCCTAAACTACATATCTAACATACATAAAAAAATATTTATCGTTTAGACTCGTTTAGATTTGTATGCGTATATGTATAAATGCAGGCGTCGAAAGTAGCTGTCATAGAAGATGTCATAGATTAACTCTTGCGAGTCATGCGACCAACGGTCGCGGAAAGTTCGAAGACGATCGGGGAAGGTTCGGCAAGTGGTGTCGCGAAGCATCGAGAACGATCGCGAAGCGTTCATCGACAGAGCGGTTACGTGTTCCGAGAAATAAATGAAAAACTGTGATTCATCAACGTGCATTCAGACGTTTATGCATACGTAGTTTGTGAATTATAAAGTTATAAAAATCGATTCGGCGTCATTATTTATTCTAGCGTGTAACCGGCAGCAAATTTAGACATCGTTTAAATAATCCCGATACATTTCGCTCCATGCGTCGCGATGCGACAGAATATCGGAATTCGATCGTTGAAAATTCGATATCTTCGCTAAAATCTAGTTTATTCGATGATGTTTCGTTAAGAATAGCCGATACAGAAAAATCAACGGTATCTTTGGAACGCTAAAAATTTCTGACTCCGAAACGAGCGTTTTGGCCTAGGTTATGTAAAACGCTAGGATCGTTGCAACATGGAGCGCGAGGAAAGAACGCGCGATGCCTCTTCGCCGGCACGCTTTCGGTCGACGGCAAAAGGAAAAGTAAAAGTCCAGCCGATCATTACCGAATGCAATTTTCTAATGGAATTTAGATCGATGCGATTGTTCCCAGGATTGCTGGAAATTAAAGTGAATTTTCGTGCGCGATAGAAACGCTGGACTTTAACGACGCGTTGGACACAATTAGCCGCGTACTATAAAACGATCGCATCGAATGGTCGCTTAAAACGTTTATCCGACAACATTCGCAGTAGCATTTCCTACGACAACGTTGTTGTTACAAGGTTTCCAAAGTGTAATAATCGTCTATTATCTTATCACGTTCCTTTACATATTTCATGAACCGCGGTGCATTTCATCCGTTATCGTCTTCCGAGTCGCGCGACGGTGCTCGCATCGAAATCGATAACATAATTAAATGCCGTTTAATATTCGATGACCGTCGCATTCGCTGACATCGCGCATTTAAGAAACTTTATCAACACATCGTAGGAGCACTATACACACGATCGTCTCTTCAATATTTCACATTTGTACCTGCACACGCTCGAATTATCATCGTAAAACCGAGCATCTCGACTTAAGGGAGTTCAGTCGTTTGCGTTTGACGCGGTGCCACGGTTTTCCCGCGACATTCCCGGACAACCCGTTTGCTTGGAAAAAGAGAATCGACGTATCGAGCTTGTAACATGAGAGTCACGGTGGCACATTTGAATCTCATTTATCTCGGTGTTCGTCTAACGATGTGTAATCCTATTAAACCGGAAGTGTATCTACCATTGATAGAACACATTCGCAGTTACTATGTCACCTCTGCGATCATTTTAGTGGAGCCTGGTAACACCGATAAGTATTTGGATGGTATGGTTGAATTTCGCTCTTGATCGCGCACACTCGTCGACTCGCACCGAACTTGCATTCGTTTTCGTTTCTTATTTGTCCCCTAATCGCAACACGTTGCACAGTTTTCATGACAAAGTATATGGCGCAATTGTGGACGAACAAGCTCGGGCGAGAGAACATCGCTTCCTTGAGCATCACGTACGACAAACTACACTCCTTGTCGAGATACTACAACAACATCGTTCGACCGATAATCATCGTTTTGATAACCGGACCGCATACGTACAACGAGTTTTCCAACATCACGAAGACCTTCAAGATGTCCTTTCCTGCTTGGTTCGTCATGTTCATGCCATTCTCGCAAGACGAGTCGAGGACCGTCGACCACTGTCACGAACCTTCGGGAAATCCGTTTCATCTGACGTTCGACACCGAGATGGTGGTGATGTGTTCCGGAGACGATACCTTGTACGAATGGTACTCCATAGATGGTCGGAGTACGGAAATTGAAAAGGTGGTTAAATGGAGTCCAAACTCGTCGCACGATTTCGAAGTACTCGTAACGCCGAATATATGCATCAGAAGGAACGATCTAAAGGGCAAGGTTCTGCGAGGAGTCGTTGTTACGGTAAGAAGGTCTATCGGACCGTTCCGATGCAATTGGAACGGAGAATTTGAGTAATCGAAATTCTAAAGAAAAATGGACGATTCGTGGGACTTGTCTTCTCGCACAGGGTCCATTTTTGTGTTGCAAGCCGAAGAACAATTTGGGGAGAATTTACTGTACATCGGTGCATGCAAGATTTTCCGTGCCAATCGAATCGATCGTTCTTGCTCTCTGGTCCAATTATAAATTAAACTTTCAACTATCGACGCTTTAATTTACAGTCCTCGATATTGCTCGAGATCACGGATACGAGATTGCGCGGATATATCGGCAACATCGTCGAAGAACTCGAGAGAACCCTGAACTTCACCGTTGAACTCGTATCTCGGAATCCGGAGTTTGGATTCTATAATACGACAACGGGGCGTTGGAGCGGAGTGATAGGAACGATTGTTTCAGGGGCGGCGGACATCGGTATCGGCGATTTTTCGATGATCAACGACAGAATGGATTACGTTGATTTCACCACCCCCATAATGACCGTCAGACAAAGCTTGTACTTCAAGCAACCGGAAATGTTTGCCGTCAAGTGGTCCGCCTATTATAAAGTATGGCTGAAAGTTTTATTATCGATCGTTCGATCGGGCCCCGATACCATCGTTCACGATCTTTGGAATTCGTGTGCCCAGGCTTTCAGCTTAGCGGTATGGGGCGCCACGTTGCTCACAGGATTCGTTGCCCTGATCGTTACGACCTTTATAACCCGTAGATTATGCACGCTCACCATACTGGAAGTATTTAACAAGGAGTTTCTTCGAATTTGGGGTATTATGTGTACTCAAGGATTGACAGGTGAATCGCGATCCTTTCGAATATTTTTCGAAACAACATGGTTGTTTCTTTTTCCCCAGCGTTAATTATCGATATTTTTCAACATATTTGTTATGGTACACCGCGTCTTTCAGACGCGTCAGTTTTTCTCGTAGACATTCGTGTATTTTTGTATTTCTAGAAACACGTTTATAGCAGCAATTTCTTTTCAGATTTCCCACGAATTTCGTCGCTGAGATTGGCCTATATAAGCTTGTTTCTGCTATCTATCGTGGCAAACTCCGCCTATTCCGCATCTTTGATATGCTTTTTAACAGCTGGCATGCACGACGTACCTTTCAGATCGGTCAACGAGTTTATCAACGACGGCACGTATAAAATAATCACGACGAGAGGATCCGTACACTATGACGTCGTCCATGTGAGTTTATCTTGAAAATAGAAAAATTCAAGAGACAACGGAGAAATGTATCGATGAAAACCGCGCACGTATACGTACAACGAGATACCAGCGTGTCGCGTTCATCAACTGTGTAAGGGAAATTCAACGGCGATTAAACTTTCCTTCGATCGACGTGGTATAATACGATAAACGTGAAACCGATTTCGCTTTTCGTTAGCGATTATTCTGTCGCGTGAAAAACATGCGCGTAACAGAGACAACGATCGCGACGAAGGAATCATTCGCAGGATGTAGCAAAGACAACTTGTTCGACAAATTGCTAGACCGTGAGACCTCGTGGTCTTGGGCTAAAATTTTACAGAATTCCAAGCAAGTCGCTCCAATGTCTCATGCTGATCACGACCTATCGCGATTTCTTATCGATTCGAACGATACAAATAATCCGGTGTTCGTCTTGAAACTAATATCGAACGGAATCGAGTGGAAAGAAGTCTAATCGTTTTTCAGCGTTCGAGCGATTCCCTGTCAAAAGCTATAGCGAAATTAATGAAACCGAAAGAAGATTTGCCGTTGTTTACGCAAGATGCGTTCGATCAAGTGAGTTTCATTTTTCGAGATTATCGAACCCGCTTCGCACGCTGCTACCTTTTTCCAAAGAGTCGTTGGCCACGATTCGTAACTTTGTACGATCTTACGTGTTTTTAGGTTGCCGAACCGAAATATGTTATAAAAAAGACAAAATTCAAAATGGAAAATCGGACGCTCGAATAAATATAAAGCACAGAAATCAAATTTTATATCGAATCTAATCGTTTGTCTGTACGGCAGAACTATGTACAGTTCGATACAGCTACACCGCGCTGTAGGAAAAGTCAATTGGTACGATCGGGGTACTTATTTAATTCGAGGATACGTTCGAGAAAAAATAGCGATTCTTTCCAAGTACCATTTCGTAATAACAATGCCGAGCGTCGTTATCCACCGACCGCCGTTGTTCCGTTGCACCCTCCGCTAGAGGGTGTATACGTTAAGTTTTGTAATCATTTCGTAGGCATTTCCAGCAGTGGAATGAAAAAATGCTTCAAACACAATTTTATCGGTGTTCGGTGGACCACGTGTCCGTATATTCTTAAATCTCGATAAACGTTTGCTTTTTTACGTAAAAATATACACGAAAGACGCAAATATACGTCCTCTACGTTACGCGGACTGAAATACACACGCTGTTGCGCCAACTTATCGTTAAACGCGTTAAACGAAATAATGAAATTCCAATTGTACGCGTCCACGTCCACGTACGTCCTGTATACTTTGAAAAATGCATTTTGGCCAACTTTTTGTAGCAGAGGTATCGCTGTTCGCTGCACGCTTTTTGGACGAGTAACATAAAATTCAAACGTTATATATTTGATTTTTTATATTTGATTTCTAGATCTGCAACGACGAAAAATTGGCATTTCTTGTCGGATTTGGTGCCAACATGCAAAAGAAAGCCCATAAAATTTCTATGCCATGTAATGTCGTCAGCATTTACGTGGGTCGAGTGGAAAGTTTGTCTATGATTTTGTCCAAGAACAGCCAATATACCAACGTTTTCAATTATTAGTGAGTAGTCGTGAAACGAATGATTAATATTTAACCAGTCGTCGTTTACGCCGGTACGACGATCCTTCGATTTATACGATAATCCCTGTACACGGTATCGTCGTTTTATCAGCCCTCGTACTTTTCCCCGCCTTGCCAATACGCCGAGCGACGGATCGCCCAGCGGGGCACATACTGGCGTGCGACGGGGAAAGGCACGGTGTCAAAAATCCATGGGACACCTCGTCCCGTGGCATCGTTGCTCCCGATATAAAAGATTTACCGCTTACGTTACAGCCTGAAGAAACTGTTGACTTCCGGCGTGTTGAATCGCAATAAGTACGATTCAGATTTTAAGGAGGAAACAAAGTATCTACCGGTCACGTTCGGCAGCATCATATCCGTGTTGATGATATTCATCTTTGGCACTGGAACAGCGCTGCTGGTACTGGCCGCAGAAATGTGCTACAATAAATACATATGCGCGGACAATTCTGATTATCGGTTCGACCAGCAACGATAATCGTTTATTATTTCGCGTTCGACGATCCAAGTTCTCGATTTCTACGCGAAACGATGCACGCGCGCGGCTGATTTTCAAACTGTTCCACGAACGTTCCGCATAACGCGACTATTAGAACGAAGTTGCAACGGATTCGAAACTTTGACAAGTATCTTCGAAGAAATATCGAAAATACCGAATGAAAATAAAGTCGAGCGGACCGTTTTCTGCGCGGTTTAAACGAAAGAAGACGATCCATGCCAGCAAAATCGCAGCAGTTGTTCGCAAAATCTGCCAAGCGTCGTTGCATCTTGCTCCGCAAATCTATCGGTTCTTAGACTCGTTTCGGCGTACCGCGACGCGCGCATCCTCGCGCGAAAAACGGCTTTTAGACTATGCGATCTGTAGTTTCAGGGCCAGCTCTCGAGTAGTTCGAGTAGCTCGAGAGTACGTTACACAAGCGTGATCGGTGAAATACCGTTTCTTACAAGTATCGTCCAAAGTTCATGAAATAAAGCGCGACGATACAAACGAATTCGGCTGGAATCATCGATCCCGTACAAAGCGACTTTCAGAATTTTCAGTTACGAATTTCACCTGCTCCTTTCCGGTTAAACGTTTCCCGAATCCGCGCGATGCGCAAGTTGCCGGAGCGATTTATTTTCCGATACAAATACGCGCACAGATAGTCCTATCGTTGCCGATCTTCATACGATTTGTGCACAACTCGTTGCACGGCTGTGTGCAACCAGTTGTTGGCGACCAACGCGGAATGCGTTGCATTTCGCTCGTAACGAGCTACCGGCCGTATTCCTAGATTCTCGGATTCGATAAATCCGTGCGACAGCGTCACGGTTCGTCCAGGTTTCAGTTATGCCAGTTGTTGTCCGAAGCGGCAGGAAGTCGCGAGAGGGAAAAGAATTTCGATCGGTTGGCTGTTCTACAATTTTTTCGCGATTCGATTCGGTGAAATTTCGCGAACTTGGATGGCTCGAACGAAAATGCCTCGGGAAGAATAAATCCGACAACGGCGATACCATAGAGATCGATCGGTTCGCGATAATTTAACGACAAATGCCGCTTCGTTGTACGAGATGGCACGGTTCGGTAGCTACGATATCGGCGTGCTGCTGCTGCTGCTGCTGCTTCTGTCCGTGGCAGGCGTTTCCGCGGATATAGCGAGCGACAGTTATAATTATATGCTGCTGATCGAAGACGTACACAACTATTACGGAACGACCTGCATAATAATCGTGCGTTCGAACCAATGCACCGGTGAGTCGATTCCTCTTAAAATCCGTTCCACGAACTTTGTTCGAACTTGCTCGCGTGGAAGCATTTAATCTCTCGATCGGCGATATTTTGTTCCCGTTGCGATTACGGCAGGCGACGCGCTTGTCGCGTCTTTGTTACGGGTACGATCGGTAGGAGCGAACGAAACGTAATTTTCTTGTCCCTATCGTCGTTTCGCTGTATCGTTTAATGCTTCCCTGCTCGGATGGATAGGAACGCGGGCGCGCGTCACGGTGAACGCCGCATCGAGAAGCTTAACCGTTTCCACTCGAACGCGATTCGAAAATTTCATTTCGTAAACTTCAAAATGCCGAGCGAAGCGTCGGATACCGTTGTCGACGAGCACGCGTACTCATCGTTTTTTAGATATGAACGAGACGACCGTGACGCAAATATGGACCCGATCGTTCTCCCGCAGCGGCATCCTGACCGTGATCGTCGGCTTTTCCGATCTTGCACAGGAGACCAAGAAGTACGAAGGTTGCGAGGTGCGACCGTTATACGTCGTCCTTCTCAGCACAAAGAAGACCCTGAACGAGTTTGCAGCGGCCACCGGACGGATCGATATCTCCTTTCCCGTTTGGTTCGTGATGTTCCTTCCGCACCAGGGAGATCCCCTGAAATCCGACTGTCGGAGCCCGACCGGGAACCTGTTCAATCTATCGTTCGATACCGAGATGCTGGTGTTGTGCTACGACCAGCCGTCTTTGAGGGAGTGGTACTCGTTTCGGGATAACCGTACAACGGTCTCGAATCTAGCCGTATGGAAACCTGGACAAGGACTTTGGCCCGTGACGAACGGGAGTCTGTACGCGAGGAGGAACAACCTGCGCAAAGAGATCATGCGAATCGCCTACGTCGAGGTAAGAGCGTTTTAAGATTTCGAATCGATCACCAGGGGCAAGCCACGAGGAACAAGCTTCTTGTTCCTCGACTTTCCACTTTTTCCGGACTCGCTTTGCCAAATTACGACGCTTTCCGAGAAAATGATACGCGTACGCGTGTATATCGAACATTTGAAAGCAATCGGACGATAGGAACTCGTACAGCGTTCGCGTTAAGATATTTCGTCGATTTACAAATACGATCAAACGTTTCCGACCGAAAGCGAACGTCTTCCAACGACCGAGCTTCTCGCGTAACTTCTAAAAATATCGTATATACGAATTCTTCGATTTACCATCGGTTGTTCGAAAACCGTCCCCTACCGTTCGGACATCCGCTCGATAATCGCGTTGGATGTCGCGTAAACGGAAACTGGAATCGGCGCGGCGGCGGCGACGCGAACGATTTACGAGGACGATAAAGTGTGGCGAGAGCGTGATGTCGCTTCTTCGGAACAGTTTGCTTTTTTCGCCCTCTCCCCTGGCGAGTTATCGGGACCGACCGCGGAAAGGAATCTTATTTCGCGATCTCCGATCGAATTCAAGGTGTCCGCGTTCGTCGCGGTCGAGAACGGGGTCCTCACGAAATACCTCGGCGAGGTGATCCAGGAGCTGAGCGAGTCGTTGAACTTCACGATCGAAGTGACGAACCCTATGGATTCGTACGGCAATCTGAACGAGGAAACGCAAACCTGGTCGGGCGTGATAGGCGAACTGGTCGCGGATACGGTCGACATAGGCGTCGCGGAATTCAGCATGACCAAACGCCGACTGGAGGTGGTGGATTTCACGCTGCCGCTGATCCTATCCCGCATGAGGGTGTACTTCAAGAAGCCCGACGGTTCCTCCGTACGGTGGACCGCCTACGTCAAGGTTTCTCGTTGTTGTTTCAAGAGTCCGCCATCGGTGAACGCGATAACGACACCGATGTTTCTCTGTGCTCAGGAGTTCGACAGGCACGTCTGGACGGGGATAGCGTTCACGGTCTTCGCCGTGCCGATCGTGCTGACTCTCATGAAGACGAGGGGACGTCTCTTCGCAAAAGTCGTCGGGGAATATTACATAAACGTTTGGGGAATATATTGCCAGCAAGGCATGCCAGGTATCCGTGCTCCCGATGCCTCCGAAATCGCGCGCGCGATAGCGATGCGATCGAATCGTTCGACAAATTTTTGGTCCGTTCGAAAAACTCGCTGGTAAAGCTATCGAGCCCCGAAAGTAAACCCGATGTTCCATCGTTCGATAACGACGAGACGGACCGTATGCTCGGACGTACGATCGGATTAAAAAAACTTATTCGATGATATTCTATGAGTCTGTACTTGTTTCGGCAACTTTGAAACGCTAAACGCGAAACACGTAATCGGTCGTTTCGACACCGGCACGGTAGGTTCGGCGTTAACAATTTCACCCCGATAGGAAATCCCGTGAACGATTCGTTTCCAGAATTTCCGCAAGAAACCTCGCAGAGACTCGCTTTCGTATCGATTTTCGTGTCGGCGTTGATCATCGCGTCCGCTTACTCCGCTTCGTTGATCAGCAATTTGACCGTCTCCACGGTTAGCCTGCCGTTCTCTACTCTCGAGCAGTTCGCGCACGATGGTTCTTACAAGTTGATCGTGTTCAGAGACAGCGCGGACTACGATACGATAGTTGTAAGCACGATGTTGCGAATAGAATGGTCGAACGCGTGGAACGATTGCTAAAGATGTTTGATTTCAGTCGGGCAACGACAGCGTCTCGTTCAGGTTGCAGAAGCTTTTGAAGAAGAAAGACTACTTGCCTTTGTCGGTGACGGACGGCTTTCGACAGGTGCGAAATTTCTCTGCGAATGTTTCATCGAGAAATATGGTCCACGAGCTTGTCGATTCCGTTCCATTGTAGGTTTGCACGGAAAAAGTGGGCTTCTACGTAACCGAGGCGATAGTGAGCTCTTTGAGTCGCATGCCTTGCGCGATCGAGTACATCGAAGCCAACAGGATCGAAAGCTTGGCGATCGTTCTGAACAAACGCAGTCCTTACAGACAAGTCATAAATTACAAGTAAATAACGTACGAAAGTGGTAGGGGTTTAAGGGATTCAAGATTTGCTCGCCGTGTACGTAATTAAGTAACCGCTCCGGTTCCGATCGAACGGGTTAGAACTATTAGAACGGTGTAAGTCACATTTTTGTTTTCGAATTACGGTAAATCTTCTCCCCGATCATGAAAATTCTCGGCATGGAAACAAAAATGGACGATTGGGGAGAGTTTACCGTACGTCTTAAAATCTACATATAGATACTACAATGTTGGAAAGACGAGCGAAGTACGCGATAAAGTCGCTACAAATTGATTTAACTTTCAATTAACTCGACGGCAGATTCGGTCGGTAAAGGATATGCGCGCGTCAGTAGGCTCCTGGTAGAAACAATGCTCCTTGTTTCTTGCAACAAGGAAAATGCGACTTACGCTACGTTCGTATTTCTGCTACTTTCGTGGTTTCGTAATTCGGTACACTCGGTTTATCGTTTTTTACTCTGGAACGAAAATACTTCGAAGAGTATTCGTTCGTTATTCGTTTCCGCGTCGTATTCGTCGACGGGGTGTCGAGAAAAACGAGCTTCTCGATATCTCGAACAAACGATTTTCAGGTTGCAACGATTGAAAGACAACGGCGTGATCAACAAGCTGAGGAACATGTACCTCTTGCCGACCAACGATTACCAGCAGGGCTATCCCGTGGTCACTTTGGGCAGCGTCACGCCGCTCCTCGCCATCGTAGTGTGCGGCGTGGTCGTAGGATGCCTGATACTAACATTGGAGAAAATGTGTTATCGCTGCTGCGACAAGGAGAGCCGTTGCGAGACGATTCGGAAGAAGCTCCGACGGAATCCGAGTAGAAGAGGCGGAGCGAGAAGATACGCGCGGAGTCCTGTGGGATACGCGCATCGAGACAACGGAGATCGGTCGTTGCGATAACGGGGGGCGAGAAACAGGCGGGGCGAGATATAATTGTTTCACGAAACTTTCTGCCGAGCGACGCGCTCGGGCTCCCTCGTACAATCGATACATTGTATCGTTACCCGCAAAACGAGGAAGAAGCCTCGACAATAATGCGCATTGTCGTCGATCAACAGGCTCGTCTTATCAATCGCTTTCGCTTCGTGCCGCGCGGCAACATCGTCGCGGATCGCAAGGGTAAATTAGTTGCAAATTTCCGCGTATCGTTTCGCCCGCTGGCGTTTCGGCGGGTTTCGATGGATCTTTCGAGTCGCGAGTTTCTATTTTTGTGCCATCCTCTGCGCTCCAATCAGTCCCGAGTTACCTCGTTTACCGGCGATGTCGGTAAATTGCTACTCGCCGAAAGCATGGCTGGAGACGAGAGACGGCTTCGCGTTGTCGTAACGACTATCGTTTTCTCTCTGCCGAGACTACAACGGCAAAAATCGGTCGACGTCGAACGAGAACAACGAGCAGTTGCGGCTTTAAAATACATTAAATATGCAAAAACGAAGCCCCGGAGGTCGTTGTTCGAAAGCGATGTTCCCATTGCTCGCGACCAACTTACACAGACACCGTTTCAATTCGCAAACTTTTCAAAACGAAGCCACTTTTTTTACATAAATTTTCTGCTTCGATAATCTTTGCTTTTCTTCGCCGCGTTAGAGGCTGATAAATCGGTCGCGATTCATTCTTCGACGAGCCGCGCGCGCGCGATCCGATATCGTTAAAACGTTCGAATAATAATATTCTGTAATGGCAACGCGAGAGTTTGCGTAATAACCGCAATTATCTGCCGATCGCGTTAAAAGCGAAGACGCGTCGATTCGTACGGAACGCGTGACCTACGACCTTTTGCGGAGAAATTCGCCCACGTGACCATCTTCCCACGCGAATCAAGCGGCATCCACTGTCTGGTTGTCGACAAAAAAAAACGAACGCAGCCCTCGTTAATTTCCCTGCATCTCCTAAACTTGCGAAATAGAAATGTTCGTATATTATACGTTATTCGACTGCTCGGACGATCGCACCGCACGTTGCGTATTTCATTTAAAATCGTACGTCCCATTTGTCGCTTCGAACGTAATCGATCGCGAGTAAAATCTGTTACACACGTTGCAGTAAAATTGCTTACACCTTGCTGTCCGCGTCCGTTACATTTTCTCTACGTTCCAAACCTTTTTCTGCCTAATCCTAGTTTCTTTCCGACGTGCGTCGACGACTCAGATTTTTTCATATTTTCCATAACTATCTTGAATTCTTCGTCCGATGCGATAAATTTCGAAATTATTCGAGTCGGTATACACGGTACACACGATATCCTTTCAGAAGAGTTAACCACGTTTCAACTTCGCAACTTCGGTTTACCACGTCGACACCATCATTTCGAGATTCTTTGAAAAACAATCGATCGATCGTCGACGAGTAAAGTTAAAAAAAGGCTCGCACCGATCGTCCGCGCGATTCGTTTTTTGCAGTCGGATCGAAGAAAGAGACGCGGAGTCTCCGACGCGTTGCTAAAATAAAGTTAGCGAATGTTCCTTTTTCGCCGAATATAACGGGCCCCGCGGCGGGAACAACGACGCGCGATCCGTTCGGGCCAGGAGGCCTCTCTCTCTTTTCGAACCGTCGCGAAATAGAATCGTTCCACGGATTATGGATATTTCCAGGGGCGCGTAGACTCGCGTGTAAACAAAGGTGCATCCTGCAGCGAAGGCTGCCGGGAGCGAGCACGAGCAACCGTGCGCGGACCGGATACGGACGAGCACGCGCCGCGTTTCCGGTTTCCGTATGACCGGAAGCGACCTTTGCCTCGTTAAGAAACGCTGCACGCGCGCGCGTTACGAACGCGCCCTCGGCAAAGTATACGCGCGGAGAAATCCTCGAAGCGTGTTGGATCTCGGCCGACAACCGAGCCGAACGCGAACGACGGCGTCTCGTATTTTACCGTTCGGACGATAATCGCGTATCGATGGCGTTCCGCGGAAACCGCAACGAACGTCGGTGAGAAAAAATCGGCCGCGGTTCTTCCTTAGAACCGGAGCTCGATCGGCCGCGAGACATTAATCTGGAGCGAGTCGGCGGCGCGGCGATCTTGTCCGAGGACTGGGTAATCTTTGGTCCTCTTTTTTCTCAAAGCTCGTTCGATCGCGGGCAAAAATAACCGGATAACCTTGCCGGAGCGCGCTTTCCGCCGGGAATGGATCGTCGTCGATACGACGACGCTCGGTCGGCCAGATATTAATTAGGAGCGACGGAGGAGTCTGGGCACCAACTTTCGATGTCAACGATCGATGCGCGACGCGTCGGTGTACGTTGTACGTACATATGTATATGTATTCGCATAGCGGAGTCCGCCGCGCGATCCTCCGCGCGATCCGCCGACCATCTTGATCCGTAACGAGACCGGGCGACCTCGGGCTTTACAATTTAAATGTGCGGCGCGAACGCGATCGATCGCGGTCGATGCCGAACGATGTAACGCTTGAAAAGGGTCTGTTTGTTATTTAGCCGTGCTGCACGTGGCACTCATTGTTGGCAGGTTGTGTCATCTCTGGGCTTGTCCAGAATGCTATTATTATCGCGCTTCGCGCCGACTAGACCGTCTCTCCACGACTTATACTCGTCGTGGTAACAATGATCGTTCGAACGATTGCGAACCAGGAAACAATAATACTCCGCGATAATGACTATTGTCACAGAGGGGAACAATGATGCCCGGTGACGGGCACGGTTCGCAGCGGGTTCGACCGGGAAACGAATCGGTGCTCGTCGACGCGACGCGACGCGATAAATATTTTTGCGAGATGTCCGGCCATGGTTGCTGCGAAATCGACGAAAGCGTCGTTACAATTACGACGATATTCGTATTTTCTCGAAAGCGCGTCGCAAGTTTTCAACGCGTCGACGACGCGTGGCTTTACGTCGAGTATAAATCTGCTGTCTTTTACCGATTACGCGGTCGAGAACGATTTCATCGAGAAATTGTCGGCGGAGAAATCTTGCGGCGTTGATCCGCTTGTCTCGTAAATCCGTCGTTGCGTCCGCCAAGAAGCTCGTTACGCGTACTATGTTCGGCACCGTGGGTGGGTATCAACGTCCACTGTTCGCATCGGCGAACCGACGTTCGCGAAACGCGGTTCACCGATAGCGTTCGATGGAAGACGTCGCCACGGTTACGGGTAAGTAGATGGAAATTGCGGGACTCGCGATCAACGGTGACGAACATGGATCGACGACCGCGTGAGACTCGTCCGAAGCGTAGCTCTTGTTTGTAATTATACCCTGTGGTACTTCTCCGCTCGGATAATCCACATTTTTGGTCCACGGTACCCCGTCCCCTCTCTATCGCGATCTATCTCGGGTACCCCTCTCTCGGGTGATATACCGAACAGCGACGAGGGAAACATCGAACGCGTAACTGTAACTCTCTCCTGCCGCGATCGAACGACAATTAATCGATTAAGACCAGTTTTAGCGACCAGGAACGCGAGCGCGCAAAGCTAGACGATGCGTATACGTCTAATTCGACGACATCGAACAACTTGGAAATTACTATAATTACGGTAAATCAGTTATCGAGTTTATGGCAGAAGGCGGTATCTTTATTTTTAACGATAATCGAATCGTTATCGAAGGACGTCGAATCGGTATAGACTGTGGATAAAAAATGAGTGTGCGAATGCGATAAAAAAATCATATATTTATTATTTATTTACGCGCTATTCGCGTGTAATTATAATTTCAAAAAAAAGTTGACTCGCCGATCCGTATCGCGCGAGAAGATACAAATATTTATAGTCCGTTTACTACTTCGAAAATCCACTTTTCCTCGCACCTGCTTTCCGCGAACAGCAACCGCAAAGGTGTCGCGCGCGGATTTCGCGGTTCCCGAAGGACATCGACGAAGAGATTCGGCAGTTGTCGAGCGTGTTCGTTGCCTCTCTCGATTCCTCTTCGATGCCGGGCGAGCCTGCCCACGTATACCGGGTGTCGCGTGGGTGTAACGCTCGTGCTCGACGCGTGCACGTAGTGGGGATCCTCCGGTACTCCACTGGCTAGGACGGAAAGGAAAGGAAAAGAGTGGTGTACCTACAGCTGGCTCGTAAACGCGATTACGTTTCGTCGCTGGCAAACCCATTCAGTGCTCCTTACGGTACGAAGGAACTTGGTGCGGTCGGTGCTGGCGTCCCGACGGCGGTCGTCGCGCATCCTCCAGCGATCGGCGTGGTCGGAACGACGAGGGACATCCGCGCACATGCACGCCGGAGCTGCGACCCGCTTGCGACCAGCTTGCGACCAGGATCACGTGCGCGTCGTTTCAGGTGTTTTTGCTCTTACCTTCGGCGAGTGACGCGCGCGCGCCGGAAACACGGATTCGGTGGCCAGCAGAGAAGATTCCGTGCAGTTGCAACCGGCGACGCGACAACGCGACAATCGCTTCCGATAAGAGCGAATCGTTCCCGAGTCGACCGCGTGTCATCGGACTCTCGTCGGGGTTCGCTCTCGAAGGGGTGGCTACGACGCGGCTGTTCGGTCGGCGCGGGATCGGAGCATTTGGGTGAGTTTGCCGAATCGATCGGTTCGCCTCGACGCGAGCGAAGAAACGTCGCGCGAAACAACAATTTCGGAACAGCGTCCATCGGAAATAATTCGTTCCTTCGTTACGCGAAGATAGCGGGGCATTTGTTACGGGAAGCCTTGACGCGCTATCAAAGAACGCGCGTAAAAATAGAACGTTTCTTGCCCTGCGCGGCGGTTCCCATCCTCCTGCATGGGATCGGTCTAGTTTAGCCGTGGTTAGCTGTCGCTAAGTCGAAGGAAGCGGATCCCGCTAAGTTCTCAACATAAATATGTATAACGAGCGATCTCCGCGTCGCGATAAACTGGGGAAAGCACGAAGGGGTTATCGAAGACGAGCACACGATTACCCCCGCCGTCGAGCGGCCCGATGTCCGGTCGATCGATCCGTCGTTAACGAGAACGGAAAAGACGAACTTCCGAGTACGTACGTATTCCGAAGGAGAGGCGTCGCGTAACGCGAGCATGCTCGTCCGCCGAGATTCGGAGCAACGATTCGGTGTTTCCGGTTCGATTCGTTCGACGTCGAGCCGGAGCATCGCGTGCGACGACGACGCTCTCGGGATCGCGCGAACGAGCCGCGAAAACAGCGACGACAAAGGGGAAACGAAAAGAAAACGGGAAGGGGAACGGACGGGTGCGCGAACGGTTCGCGGTGAAACGAGCCGCATTCTTTTAATGGAAAATGCACGAACCTCCTTCGTTTTTCTGTTATTGTCGTTGCAGAGCCAACGAGAGAGCGGCCGCTAATTTCCGTTGCCAGGATTCCACGACGAACCGGGACGAGTGGAAGAGAGAGAGAGATTCCGCGCGACCAACCAGTCCGCGATCGTCGAAGACGCGATCGGGTCGTAAATCGCTGCAACACCGTCGGCTGCCAGAATCGCGCGTGAACGGGACATCCGTCGATCGTAATTGCCCGATCGTCGCGGATACGGTAATACGGTACGTATGCTGTTATCACGGTCTCCGCTCGTTCGCTGTGAAACGGATCGAACGCGGTGACAGGAAAGCGTCGTCGATGAATCGTCGGGAAATCGGCGCGATCGGCTTTTCCGAATGCACGGTTCGAATCGGAGATCTCGTGGGAAAATTAGCACGGAACGTTTCGGTCGTGGCTCCGTAGCACGATCGATGGTTCGATAAAAAAGCGGTCGTAACGTGTTACCATGAACGGACAAATCGCGGATTCGGCTGGTACGCGCGTATTAACGCAAGAGGGTAAGCTCTCGGAGAAGATCGTTGCGCGACGCGATTCGTGAAATTTTCGTCGAGTCCGGAAAAAGCAGGCTTTCCGCGCGGAAGCGAATCGACGTTTCAGATTTCTCTTAAACGAGGCCAGAACTGTCGCAGCATTGACGGATTCAGGGTACACGGTATCGGAATTTATTTGAGACGCGAACCGCGAACGCGTATACGTTCGTTACGCGGATATTCGAAGCGTCCTAGTCCTGGACTTCTTTACCGAAGCCCCGACGACCGCAGGAACGTGCAAACGGTTAATGTCCAGTCGACTCGGGAACGAGGCAACAGCACGATCGGTATCGGAGGATGATCGTCGGTCGCTCGGCTAAGCGGACGAAACGACAACTCCGCGTTACGTAACGGATCGCAGAGCTATCCGGAGATATCCGCGGCATAACAATTGCCGCGGTGATCGATGCTCGATACGCGAAGTAGCTCGATCGATCCTAATGGAACGCGCGAGCGTAACAACCGTTCCGTGCGATCGGTCGCGGCAGCCATTTACGGCCTGTTGGTTGGTTCGTTCGTTCGTTCGTTCGGTCGTTCGTTCGTTCGTTCGTCAACTGTCAGCCCCGACGTATCCCATCCCGCGTAATTAGAATGCGCGAGTTAAGACCGATTAATCGCGCCGGCAGATATGCATTGGAAACGGACTGTCGCGTATTAAACCGCGGGGACACCTACATGCCGATGGTGTACGTGTCGCAAGATGGCCGGGTCACTGCCTACACGGTGACACCCACCGACTCTTGGGACGCAGCCTTCGCCACGAATAATATACTGGTCGACAGCTCCTTCTCCATCTTACTCTCACTCTTTCTCTCTCTCTCTCTCTCTCTTCCCCTCGCTTTTTTATCGATTGTAATTTACGCCGATTAACAGTTACACGAGTCCGATCCTTGGAGGAAACCCAGCGCGGATACAAGCCGATTTCCATTCGAGTTAACCGATCGATCGAATCGACGTCGATCGAGAAATATGCGGGACGAAGCTCCTTTTATTCGGATTTATCGGGGTCTCGATCCGACTACTTCCAAATGCAACGGTCGTACATGACCGGAAACATAAATGTATTTAATTTGTAACGCTAAGCTTACGAAATGTGACCGAAAAGGGAGAAGAACTTGCTTCTTTTCAACGTCTCGATGAACCAAAGCAGTTTTAATTATGTATGAAATGCAATTTTTGCTGTACGCGCGCATCGTACCGTAATGGCGTCAGCGATCGTTATAGTCCCGACGCGCGTATCCGTGAACGAGCATCGCCGTACAAATTCTCGTGGCCTGGCTCGCCCTCGTATTCCGCTGGCTAGATTATGCTACGAGTAATATCGTTTTCTCGTACTAACTTTTCAAATATTAGCTATCGTTGCTCCAATTATTAACGCGATCGTCGATCGAGAACTCCAGCTTACCATTGTATTTAACGTCGACGGTGATCGATGAGAACGCATACTTATCTTTCCTAAGATTAATAATAATAATAATAATAATAATAATAATAATAATAATAATAATAATAATAATAATAATAATAATAATAATAATAATAATAATAATAATAATAATAATAATAATAATAATAATAATAATAATAATAATAATAATAATAATAATAATAATAATAATAATAATAATAATAATAATAATAATAATAATAATAATAATAATAATAATAATAATAATAATAATAATAATAATAATAATAATAATAATAATAATAATAATAATAATAATAATAATAATAATAATAATAATAATAATAATAATAATAATAATAATAATAATAATAATAATAATAATAATAATAATAATAATAATAATAATAATAATAATAATAATAATAATAATAATAATAATAATAATAATAATAATAATAATAATAATAATAATAATAATAATAATAATAATAATAATAATAATAATAATAATAATAATAATAATAATAATAATAATAATAATAATAATAATAATAATAATAATAATAATAATAATAATAATAATAATAATAATAATAATAATAATAATAATAATAATAATAATAATAATAATAATAATAATAATAATAATAATAATAATAATAATAATAATAATAATAATAATAATAATAATAATAATAATAATAATAATAATAATAATAATAATAATAATAATAATAATAATAATAATAATAATAATAATAATAATAATAATAATAATAATAATAATAATAATAATAATAATAATAATAATAATAATAATAATAATAATATTGTTTGTCGCGTCGACGGAGTACTTCGTTAACCCTTCGTTGCAGAGAACGTTATAACAGCGAGCACTCGAGACAGCGATAGAAAGACAGAAAAGTAATAACAATAAATTCCTCCGTAACAGAGCTCCTTGGCGCGCGGAGCACAAGGTCCGACTCGAAGCGTTCAGTTTTTTTTCTAAACGGAAGCGAGGTTTCAGTTACGATCGACGAACGAAAACGAAACTGTTCGGTCCGCGTAGCTGGCCATCCCCTTCTCGGACACAGGAAACTAAAGTCAAACTATCCACGCCCCCCGACGTTTCGAATATGCCTTTAAGCGGGATACGCGTACGCGCGGGGCCACCATCCAAGAATCATTCGGGGCTTCCATTGATAGACCGAATCTCTGTTTTCCAGAGCGGGGGCGCGCGAGGATGACTTACCGATGATCGCTGGACGTCGATGATCAACGGTATCTCCGAAGATGGTGTACAGAGGCAGTTTGCAAACGGACGATCCTCGGGACGCGCCGAAGCTGGTCAGGATTTCGCCGTTGCGCGCCAGCAGGTCCAACAATCCTGCAACGAATGCTCGTGTCGTCGGCTCCGTGAACGGGCCGACGTATCACGGCCCGTTTATGTCGGCGATCGACGTTCAACGAGCCAAATTGATCGAAGAAAGACGGCTGGGCCGCGAAAGGGACATCGAGACCGTGGAGAAGGTGATCGCGAGGACGACCGGGTTGAAGGTGGGCGCGCCGAGACTGCGGAACATCGGTCAGATACGAGATACCGTGTTCGTCGATCCGACTCTGATACCGATGGAGAAAATCGGTCGGAAGGAGCGAGACCGGCCGAGGACGATAGCCGTGGACGGCTCTCCTCGAAACACCAGAACGCCCAGCTCCATGTTGGCCGATCTGAAGGACCTGGAGAGGCTGAGGAACACGCCGCCGGCGCAGAGATGTCCCAGGACCTCGGCCAAGGCCGACGCGAGGTATTCGGCGGCGAACAAGAAAGCCGAGCTGTCGAACTCGGCGAAGATTCGATCGGATATAATAAAGATACAACAGATGTTCCAGGCGTCGGACGGCTCCGCGCGAACGGTAATAAAATCGAGCGAGAAGAGAACGGACAAGAGGAACGAGTCGGAGAGACAGGAGAAGCGAGCGGGAACGGAAATTAATAAAACGAGGCTACTGGCTCAGAAGCTGCTGGAGGCGTCGCGGACTAATCGGGAGTCGCTTAAGGATCGCTGCAACAACAACCCAAAGAACTGCTCCACGAATAAAGCGGCGAAAGAAGCGAAAGAAACGAACGGTAGGATGTCGAGTAGAACGACCGCGCAAAAGAACGGTCTCTCCGCGGATTCCAAACATCCGAAGGAAAAGATTTCGACGGAGGAAGCGCAGCCGCGCCCCCCTGCGCGGAAAAGAAAAGAATCGAGAAACAGGCTCGGCCGTGACGCGAACGAAGACGAAATCGGCAGAAACGATTTTCGGGAGAGCTCCGGAAACGTTGGGATCGGGAGGGACGAGGTCGACTCGAACGTTACGGAGGAACGCTCGAACGCCGTAAACGCGGGGGAGGACCCGAAAACGAGGACCAGGGAGCTGGACAGGCCGGATATCCTGGACGGTTTACTGAAGGAATCCGACAGGCAACTGGCCGACTTGAAATCCGATTTGAACGTGCGGGGAAGACCGCGCAGCCACTGGAGAGGATTCGTGCAATCCATGAGGCTGCACGACGTCGAGCTGCACTCGGATAGCGAGGATCAAAAGAAAGGTGAGCCAGCTTCGTTCGTTGCACGGACGGCGGATAATGGTGGATAGATTCGGGGAGGCTTCCGTCTCGGTCGTCCGGCACAATTATCCGAACAGTTTTATATCTTGGATAGAGTCGAAGCGCGCGAATCGAATCGAATGCTCGAAAAAAAGAAAGCAACAACTACAAAATACCGGACTCGAGAATACGAGCATCGAAACAGCCCCGAAAATCCGGTCGAATCGAGGGATTCGCAGGCTCCGAGGTTTAATTACCGCCCGACGACCACGCGAGCATTCCGTTCGGCCCACGGAAACGATGTCTCAATGTTCCGGGGAGAGAGCGGGCGTTCGCGCGCGTGTAAAAGGCTGATCGACGCGCACAGGCGTGTCGGGCACCGGGGTCCGCCGGTTAAGTGAGATTTATTGGAATTTCTGCTGGCCATTTCGATGACCCCCGGCGGCGCGTAGGCACTCGGTCGGTTTAAAGGGTGCGTTTCATAAGCCGTAGATTGGATTAGCCGCGTTCGCCGAGGTGTTTAAAATTACAACCGACGCGGTCGTTAATCCCTTGCCCTAAAGCGCCCCTATTTTTAGACTTTCCGATGCTCCCTCTCCCGACCGTGTTCCTGGCGCAGGTCAGGGTACCGCGTCCCCGACATATGTCCCGACATATGGATTCGTTCGGAGAAACGAGCCGCCCTCTTCGGTTCCTAACAGCAGCGGGCAATCGAGCACGAACCGCGACCGTTCGAGCCTGTTCCCGCGATCGCCTCGCGGGCCATCGTTGTTTTTATAGTCGGTCGTGAAATAATCCGCGACGCTGTCAACGGGAACCCAGAATTCGCGTTGCCAGTTCGAGATTCCGACCGCGAATGCTTCTGGCATGACGCACGGTCGTTTCCTTCGCGTAACCGGGACCGATTTTCTCGATTCTCACGCCACCGGTCTCGAACCATCTAATTTCACTCCTCGTCGATCGGGATCGTTCACCTTGATTCCGCGATGAAAGTCCCGCGAGACGGCGAGCGTCTCGTTTCCGAGTCCGTGTACCCGATCGTACCTCTCTGTTCTCTCCGGTAACAGTTATCTACGGTTTATCTTTCTACGCGCGGAGATTTACTCCGTCTCCCTGCTTGCACGCGTCCCGTGTATCGGAGATAGGTGGACGAAAACGTTTGCCAGCGTCTTGGGGCATTCCTCCTCGAAGAGGTTTTATCGCGTTACAGTTTCAGACACACTTGTAACTCTGAAAGGGAAAGGGAAAGATAACGCGGCCCCGGATGCGCCTTCAGAGAGGATACGACGAAGGGTCTACGTTCGTTGTCCTCCCAGACGTTATCGACGACGATAATGTGGTATTTAGCCGATAGCGGTGGGACCTGTGTGTGGACGCTATAAATTGCATCCGATTCTATGTACAGTGGCGGCCCATATACCTACGTACGCTCGAAGTCGTCGACGATTACGATCGTCGATGATTATAAAAACGAGCCGCGAGGCTCGAATTATCGTAATTATCGTCCTCTTCCCAAATTGTCCAGTTTTGTTTTCGAGCCGAAGGTCGAATAGGGAGAATTTATCGTACACGGTTTGTGACCGCGATCGCGAGAAATCAAGAAATTCAATTTTCTACGACGAAGCAGACGTTGGCGAATACTTGTCGGAGAAGATTATAATATTCGTAGTCGACAAAGTTACTTTTTCGTTCGTGATCGCTTGGCGTTGAATTCCCCCCCCCCCCCCCCCCCCCCCCACCCCCCCCCCCTCCTTTCCACTCCACTCCAATCCACTCCACTCCAATCCATTTCCACTCCAATCCACTCCACTCCAATCCATTTCCACTCCAATCCACTCCACTCCAATCC